TATATTTTTTTTGTTATTCGGAAATAACATTTTCTCCAGTGTAAATTATTCATTCTATATTATACTTTATTAATATGAATATTAATAACGTATTTATACTAAAATGTAAATTATTTTATTTTGTATTTCTATATTATATTTCTATATTATATATATTTTCTATATTATTTCTATCTATATTATTTCTATATTATTTCTAGTAATTATTTCTATATTATATATTCTATGTTACAATTTTCTATTTTTATGAACTGCTACAGATTCGAAAAAAAAATGTTTATCTCGCTTGAAAATAATTATTTTTCAATATAAATATATATTCATATCAACAGAGATAAATATGTTATTAGTTACCCAGCGAATAAATATTTTTTACTTATAACTATTTTATTTATAAATAAGTAAATATTTATTTTTTAGATATATTTCTTCTCAGCGCGGCCGTCTGATCGGGAGACAATTTTTGAAGCTTTTCAAGCTCACATTGCACTTGGTTTCTCTCGATTGCGATTCTATTTCTCATAAGCACGTATTTCTCGAGAGAAAACTACAGCAGGCCCCGTTCGCGGTGTTAGGCTGTGGTGTTAATCTAAGCAGAATTTACGATATTACTGCCACGGCTGCGCCGTCCCCTCTCAAAATTCGAGGTCGGTGATCTTGCCGGTATTCTCGAGGTACCGCCAGAAGAGCCACCGAGAGAGCTGCCTTCGTTCTGAAAATGAAGTCGTCGCCTGGTTAACGGAGCCGGGCGACGATTAGGACACTCCGAGTGATTTCGTTACTCTTCTTGTTCGAGATTTACACGCTAGAGCCGTAGGGGCTCGGCTTTCGTTACTTGCACCTTCGTTTATTTATCTTTTGCTTTCGTTTCACCGGTCACTTGTCCCGGCATGTACGTGTCGCAGGTATCATGTCGGATATTAATTTCTACTCTCGTGTAACTTGGCGACCAACTACGCGCGACATACGATCCTTGCGAATTTTTCGCGAATCGATCGCGACTTTCTTTCTCGACGAGTTTCGCCACGCATGCGCGAAACCCCACAGTGACGTCCGTCGACTATTTCTTTTCAATAAATAATCATACATCAAGTACGGGAGAAATATTGCATACGATTACAAAATACAGATCAATACAAATCAATGATCTCCAGGCAGATACATTTTCCCGCGGCCAGAGGGCGCCTCTGTGTTTCCCAGTTCAACGACCTCCTCCTCCATTTTGATTCATCGCAAATGTCTCTGCTGGGTGTGATATCGAGTCGAGGTGAAAGTGTCGCAATCCTTCGACCAGCGACTGCAAACTCGAGTCGGATTTCACGCGACTCATCCTCGTTCCTTGCACCGTTTAACACGTAGCGTGCGTCAACGACGAGGCGTCTTCATACCTCGTGAGAATTCATCAATTTGCTCAAGACGCATTGTATATCGTAGCTGGCACGCGGAGCTGTTGAGGCTTTCCCGTCGGGCGGAAAACAGCTCGCCCGTGACGGGAACCCGAGAGGATTTTCGGCGACGCGACTCCAGTTCGGCGCGGCGACCGCGACGGTCCGGCGAGAGCATTCCTATGAATCAGCCGAAAGAATTTTTCACCGCCGTGGGTTTCTCTTACCTGCGGTCTGCGGGTAGGCGTCGACGCGCCACGATTCTCGATACATCAGCTGGTGCGGGTACCTGTAGTAACTTTTCTCTCTCCCTCCGATTCCCTGCCTTCGGCCCCTCCCCCCCGCCCCCGTTCCCTCCTTCTTTCCGCCGGCCGAGAGGGGCAGAACGAGGTGCGTGAAGGTCGGACAAAGAGCAAGGTAGCGGCGAGAAGGAAAGGAGAGGGCCGGTTTTTCTGGTTTTCCACCTCCGCAACCTCTCGCGATCTCTCTCCCCGTGGTCTTCTCTCGTTACCTCCGCACAATGAGACGCTTACGCTTCGTGCGGGACCAGCACGGGACCGATACAACGAATAACGCGCGGCCCGTACGTATACGCGCCGAGGAAAATTGTATTAGCATTTTGGTATGCAATAAAGTACGTCACTCCCTTATTCGTTACGTCCGCCGCACATTGTATCGCCGCAGCGGTTCTCAATTCGCTGCGGCAGCTCCCCGCGGGAGTCTCCCCGTGGGACCTCGAGGACTTCGTGCCTTCGGCTTGTACCTTGGACTTGCCTTCGACTTGATCTCCGACGAAGCCACGTTACGTTGACATCGCGCGACCGCTCTCTCTCTCTCTCTCTCTCTCTCTTTCTCTCTCTCTCTCTCTCTCTCTCTCTTTCTCTGGCTGTAATTTTGCCCGTGACTTCCGTCCAGCTCGATGAGAGAATTTGACCATTAGGCAACGGGTTGTACAGATACCGTGTAGAAAGTTGCAGACAATCTTCTTGTCCGCGACTATACCGATAATCACCGGTATTAAGTTTGTTCCTCTTCCGTTTTTTTTTTTCTTTTATTGAATCTATTGCATTTTTGGCCTCTTCAGAGTGAGGTAAGTATATGATCCAACCTAACCTAACTTAACCTAGTCGACGCGCGTCAGATTTTCATTCACTTTGAAGATTTGTCTATAAAAATAGCCCGCATGAGGTTGCACGTTGTCACGTTGAGGAAAAAGGTATTCGCGTTTCTCATTTGCAATTACAATCGCGCAGACAGTTATAATCGGGAGAGATAATTTTGTAGTAAATAATGTTGCTATAATGTTAGCGATGTATGATGAATAGTCATATATGTACAAGGTGCCCGATGATAACATGTAAAGCTTTCATATATTACATGCCAACTAAGACGGAAGATAATATTTCACCACTATTAACTTTAGCCATTATCTAAGTCGTTAAATCTTCAACTAATAATTCAAAATTTTATTTCTTTATCCATAATATACATAACTTTACATAATACGTTTCTTTACATAATAATACTTTACAAAATATAATACGGGACTTCTAACTTATAAACAACTTATAACAAACGTCAACAGTACGGCTCATTTAATATATCGTGCAAATTTAAAAAATGTATTGGTAAATTCCTACGTCTACAAATTTATTTGTGCAGAAAAGCTTTGCATGTATCGTCAGCCTGTATACTGAAGACTATTCGGCTGGAATAACTGAATTTCAGTTACAACAACACCGAAACTTTTCGTCCCTCGGGAATCAACTGAAAATTCGGTTGCGACGCAAGAGAAACTCCGTTAGGAAGTTTCTGTCGCCTGAGAAATATATTCGATCACCTAAATCGAACATCAAGGTTAAGCGCTACGCCGATTTTGGCTTACAAGTGTAGATAACAAGAGAGAACGAGATGCAGTGAGATAATGTCGGGTCACCGGGTCGGTTGAATTGCCAAACAAAAGTAAGGTTACGTTCTGCAAAGCATGTCGATCTACCGATTATTTTAAGAAGTTTCTTGCCCAATTAGAAGTTCCGTATTATTTTGTAAAGGAACGCATAAAATTCCGAGTTATCAGTTAAAGAAGATTTATGTTATGTTAAAGATTAATGGTATGTTAATGATAGTGAAATATTACCCTCTGTCCCAACTTGTATGTATACGAGAGCTTTATCGTATTTATGTTATCGTTATATACTTTATACATCGATATGTCGGTACTTTATACATACATGGTGAGGAAAAGAAATGGAAACCCTTGAAAATCTCGAAAGATATACTTTATAGAAAAGTGTTTCAGACAAAAGTTATAAGACTCAAAAGGATGTATTTACTGATCTTATCAATTTGATCTTGAATGGCGTTGCCAAGGTCAGGTCAAGGTCAACTTAATTTTTTTTTAACATAAACCCCCATTTTTTATTATATCATCTTTTTCTACCAATTAAGTTCAACAACTTTTGTCTGAAACATTTTTTTATTTACCTAATACGTTTTAAGATATTTAAGGAAAACTTGGTGACTTTTTCAATACTTAACTTACGATATCTCGCTAACTATTTGTCAAAAGAAAAAACGGTACTAGACTTTTTTACTCTATTTGATCTCAAGAACATATTGTTACAATAGTTCTCTAACTTTTGTCAACTTATTGACTTTTGGAAATTTCAAAATCATCAAATTAACAAAAGTCAGGGTGCTATTATAACAATATATTCTTGAGACCAAGTGCAGTAAAAAAGTCTAATAGCATTTTTTCTTCCGACAAATAGTTGGCGAGATATTATAAGTTAAATATTGAAAAAGTTTCCGAGTTTTTCTTAAATATCTCAAAAAATATTAGGCAAATAAAAAAATATTTCAGACAAAAGTTGTTCAAATTAATTGGTAGAAAAAGATGATATATTAAAAAATGGGGGTTTCTGTCAACTTATTTTCTTTAAAGAAAATAAATTGACCTTGACCTGACTTTGGCAACGTCACTCAAGGTCCAACTGATAAGATCAATAAATACATCGTTTTGAGCTTTATAACTTTTATTCGAAACACTTTTCTGTAAAACTTATATCTTTCGAGGTTTTTCAGAGTTTCTATCTTTTTTCCTCAACCTGTATGTGACTATTATCGCTAACATTATAGCAGTATTTGCAAAAATATATCTTGCTAAACTTGAAGTGCCGACTTCAACCGACTTCAACCTGACTTTCGTCCAAAGACTTTCAACCGAAAGAATCAGAAAGCGACATATCGAGTGGATTATTTTCGCCACCTAAAAATCAACGTCATCGAGCATTGCGATTATCCGAAGACGATAGATAGTTTGTTAGACAGTATAGATGTAAACAACAATAATTATCAAGATTTAGAGTGGTTCAACCCAAGAGGCAACCAAGTAGATATTATGGCAAACCGTATCTTTATTTAAACTGTTCTGATAAAACCCATAAAGGGATAGGGTCTAAATGAAAATCCAGCGCCGGTTCCTTCCCTGCTTGCATAGATGTCTGCACTGGCTGCACTGGCAAAAACGTGGCAAACACGTCACTGTGACGTCTTTACGTTATAACGACGTACTTGCCACGTACACGGTGCAGTCAGAGTTGGGACCGACGAAGCGCTTAACATATTAACGTGGCCAGGGGTACAAATTTCGTTTTTTACATGGATAAATAGAGCATCTGGACGCACGTAAGTGGAAAAGGACAGCGCTTGCACGGCCAGCTGGAAAATCGCACCATCGGCAGAGTCCCTCGATTTCGTTACACAAGTCCTTCCGCTCACGGTAACTGAGATTTCGTTTCTCCTTACATACACGATTACACAGTTCCACGCCTTCGGCCGAGTACTCCTCTATTATCTTTTCAAGACAGAAAATTCTAGTTGCTGCGATCGAAGGCAATTGTTGGTGCGAACGGTTCTTCAATTCGCGAAACGGAACTTCTCTTATCGCGACCGAACGTCACACAACAAGTTTCTAACTGTCACCACAAAATACTTTGTTGCGTATATCATGTACTGATGCTGAGCAGACGATGTGATGATGTATGCCATCGAAAAATCAATACCGGTGTTTATTGACTCGTCGTCCAGGATGATCGCCCTACAATTATAAGGACTGCTTGATACAATTTATAACGCAAGTGGTGCAGGTAATACGCGAGTTAGGTGAAAATATTTAACAAGTAAGTATAAATTAATGACATTTATATATTAATGGTGTATGTACGTGACGTATATATAAAATAATGTAACATAATATAAGACAATATAATATAATGTATATTATAACTGAGAAACCTAACATATATATATATGATTATTGTATACTTAATACTAACATAAGTTTTTACAAGTAAAATTTATATAAAACTTACCTTTTTAAACAAAAAGGTAAAAAAAGGCGCCAAGTACAAGTGCAACACGTTATTTTTAGAAATTTTAAACTCAAATTATTTTTTTAAGGTATATATCTGTACATAACATAAGTTTTTACAAGTAAAACTTATAACTGTAATAAAACTCTACAACACTATTCTACTGTACAAAGGAAGTGATATATTAGAACAGTAGCGCCAACTGAGAAACTTAACATATATATATGATTATTGTATACTTAATATTTTTAGAAATCTCAAATTCAAATTATTTCCTTTTTTAAGATATGTATTATGTACATAACATAAATTTTTACAAATAAAACTGATCAAATTATTTTTCTTTTAAGACATATATGTACATAAGCTTTTAAAAGTAAAAATTATATCGTATTATAAAAATTTAATACGTTTTTAATAGTGTACAATATTAAAAAAAAATATCTTTAAAGGTCATTGTTATTCAAGAAAAACCTAGCTACAAAAAATGTCCATGGCATAAATTTTTACAAATAAAATTTATCATTATTTATTAGAACATTGAGTTACATAGTTATTTTACTTGTTATTATAACAAATTAATTATCAAAACAATGCAATAAAAATATTTAATACAAAAAATCTTGGCGCGGCAGCACCAAAAACTATATCGAACTAAAACTTGTTTAATACATACATGACAGCATTTTTATTATAATAAAATGTACTTGTAAATTCTCTCTATACATATACGGTGTAATGTTTTATTTAAGTTTCTATAGTATTATAATAAATTATAAACCTTCACTATAGAATATATATATTGAATGTGTATATATTCTATATATTTTGATATTTTTTTACTCAAAGATGTTATTCTTATTATATTGACTCAATAATTGACGAAATGTCAATGATATCTAATTTGACTTTTATGTACATCTTCGATATAGTTTTTGGTGCAGCCGCGCCAAGATATTTTGTATTCAATATTTTTTTATTGCATTGTTATAATAATTAATTTGTTATAATAACAAGTAAAATAACCATGTACTCAGTGTTCTAATAAATAATGACAAATTTTACTTGTAAAAATTTATGCCATGGACATTTTTTGTAGCTAGGTTTTTCTTGAATAACAATGACCTTTAAAAAGATATTTTTTTTTAAATATTGGACACTTAAAAACGTGTTAAATTTTTATAATACGATATAATTTTTACTTTTAGAAGCTTATGTACATATATATCTTAGAAGAAAAATAATTTGATAAGTTTTATTTGTAAAAACTTATGTTATGTACATAATATATATCTTAAAAAAGGAAATAATTTGAATTTGAGATTTCTAAAAATATTAAGTATACAATAATGATATATATATATGTTAGGTTTCTCAGTTGGCGTTACTGTTCTAATATATCACTTCTTTTGTACAGTAGAATAGTGTTGTAGAGTTTATTATAGTTATAAGTTTTACTTGTACAAACTTATGTTATGTTCACATATATGCCTTAAAAAAATAATTTGAGTTTAAAATTTCTAAAAATAACACAATACGTGTTGCGCTTGTACTTGGCACCTTTCTTTACCTTTTTGTTTAAAAAGGTAAGTTTTATATAAATTTTACTTGTAAAAACTTATGTTATGTATTAAGTATACAATAATCATATATATATGTTAGGTTTCTCAGTTATAATATACATTATATTATATTGTCTTATATTATGTTACATTATTTTATATATACGTCACGTACATACACCATTAATATATAAATGTCATTAATTTATACTTACTTGTTAAATATTTTCACCTAATTCGCGTATTACCTGCACCACTTGCGTTATAAATTGTATCAAGCGGTCCTTATAATTGAAGGGCGATCACCCTGGACGACGAGTCAATAAACACCGGTATTGATTTTTCGATGGCATACATCATCACATCGTCTGCTCAGCATCAGCTGACCGGCAATCAAATGACGTGCGTCATAACATACCGTGACGCTTACTACAGTATATTCTCACCTTTTTATGCCTCTCTCTTTCTCTCCTCTCGCCCGTTCTCTTTCTCGCCTGTTCCCTCTCTCTCTCTCTCTCTCTCTCTCTCCTGTTCTCTCTCACGTTCTCCCTCCCATTCTCCCACCCGTTTCTCTCCCGTTCTCCCTCCCGTTCTCGCTCTCTCTCTCTCTCTCTCTCTCTCTCTCTCTCTCTCTCTCTCTCTCTCTCTCTCTCTCTCTCTCTCTCTCTCTCTCTCTCTCTCTCCTCTCTCTCTCTCTCTCTCTCTCTCCCTCTCTCTCTCTCTCTCTCTCTCTCTCTCTCTCTCGTTCGCTCGCTCTCTTTCTCTCTGTCACACATTTTCAGCTCCTGTATTCTAGCAATATTCTTCTCTCTCTTATTCTCCATCGCTTGCTCACTCGCACTCGCTGCTCTTCGCTTCTTCAGCGTGCTTGTAGTGCTCCTGGTGTCGGGAAAGCAATGTGCACCCATAGCCCCTCTCCTTTGCGTCCGACATTTCTTTCTTACTGAATCGAAATTTTCCGTGATTCAGATCAGACTTTATCTTAAAATGTCTCCACTTAGAGACAACGTACACAAAAAGCACAAGAACACTTTTCTTCCTATTTTTGAAGGCCGAATCGATTGGGACTAAAAAAACCTCGATTGATTCAGCCATTGCTGAGGTATGAATACTTCATCTCGTTTCAACTTGCAGTTTCGCATAATATAGGCATAGTGTGCCTTTTGATATCGTAGCTATTAAATTTTGCTGGAACACTTAAGACGATATAGACGATTGTAATATTTTAGCGTTACTTCTTTTTCTATCTCCCAATACAATCGCGTGCAAACGATTCACTTATGATTACCAGCTGACGGCATGTTATCTGACATCGGTCGTACTATTTTTACTCGTGGACTGGCATTATCTGCTTGCATTCGTTAACATTTCGCTGATATCCCGCAATTTTTTCGCAGAAAAGAAATTCGCACACGCTAATCTCGATCTAGGTACCTATTATGGAATTCGTCGGAATCGATTCCGATCGAATTTATTCCGTTATTTCCTAGATTTCTATTGTCTTTTCTAGGGGAAACGGAATTATTCCGATACCCAGTAGGTACCCAGTGGTGCGATTTTTTAACTCATTATTGGAGTTAATGACAGTTAACTCCAATAAAGTTTCGTTATCGTTGCATAGCTCTTTTACGGTATACAAAAACTGTCGTTAACTCTAATAACGAGTTACAGATTCGCACCACTGATAACGTTCGTGTATGTGAGAGGATTCACGTTGCTCGACTCTTCCGTTGGCCATCTGCAGACGACGGAGCGATCGATTGTGATCAATTGACACAATTCACTCATAACCTCACCGATAAGTTCGCATAGTCATCGGAGAATTTGCAACTCACGCGAATTTCTTGTCGAGAAACGAGCGGTTATCCTCGAGGAAGCAGTGCGTGGCACGGCGAACGTTCATTCTGCGCTTGATTAAAATAGCGTATCGTCTAACGACGTGATTGAATTGCAGAGGAATATGCCCGTAACGTGTTTACAATAATGACGTTTTGCGAAAAAAAAGGACGCGAAACTGGTCGACTGGGGCCGTGTTCCAAAATTTACTGCCAGCGCTGAAAAGTTATAATTTGCGTGACGCAAACTATATATTTTCAGTACTGGCAGTGAATTTTGGAACACGGCCTGGATAAGTCCTGTGATAACCGTCGCGAAGTTAGCAGACAAATTGAAGATTTTCTAATTTTCTTTTTTGTATCATTTGGGAATCATTTAGCGAAGTTTAGGAACATAGTCTCATAGTTTGGGAAATAATAGTTTATTAGTAATTAATAAAAATTAATTAATCGTTAAGTTAGCAGACATAATAAAAGAAATTTTTTTTTAATTTTTAATTAACGTAAAATTATTTGGGAAACACGTCTGTAATGTTTTTAACGTTTGGGAAATAATAAGTTTTTATAATAATTGAAAACAAAGATTACATGTGGTACATTTCCGAAGATGGATGGAAATGCATCAATCAGAACGCAGTATTTTCATCCAGCAAGCAATCCAGCATCGTGTGCCGTTGGCTTCTAGGCTTTTAGAAAAATATATAGTGTTGCAGTGACACTTTCTTACCAAATATATCAACATTTGTATCCTATACATGTAAAATTTGTTAAATTTGTGAGCATAAACATTACATTTGATGTTATCGTGAATTAAAAATCAGCTAGCTAAATCTGTTGATAAGCATAAAATATAAGTACCAGTCAAAATATACGAAACAATGAATACTTGCATGATAAGACACAGGGAGAAATAACCTATTCGATCCATTCTTATGTGCACCGCTTAAATATTTAACGTCAAAACAGACTTTCTTTTTAGGGTGAAGATAAGCATTCTTGGGTAGGAAATTAAATATTTGGCTGAACGTTAAGCCGGCGGCACACGATGCTTGTTTGTGTGCTGGATTGCTTGCTAGATGAAAATACTGCGTTCCGATTGGTGCATTTCCATCTATTTTCGGCAATGTACTCCATGTAATCTTTGTTTTCAATTATTATAAAAACTTATTAAACTATTATTAAAACTTATTTCCCAAACGTTAAAAATATTACAGACGTATTTCTCAAATAATTTTATGTTAATTAAAGATTTAAAAAATTTTTTTTTATTATGTCTGCTAACTTAACGCTTAATTAATTTTTATTAATTACTAATAAACTATTATTTCCCAAGCTATGAGACTATGTTCCTAAACTTCCCTAAATGATTCTCAAATGATACAAAAAAAAAATTAGAAAATCTTCAATTTGTCTGCTAACTTCATAACGGTCATGTAATAAGTCGCATAACAAGTCGCTTGCAGCGCCGGCTTTTTCTCGCGGCCGATGGACGTACTTGCGACACCCCACATATTCGCACGTTATATAAAGAGTGTGCATAATATAAATCTTACGGTACACTTGCAGAAAACTGCAGTTCTCGAGCAGCGAGCAGCACGATCGGATCACCTGCGGCGATACGTTCTTGAAGGTAGTTCGAAGAGGACTGGCCGACCGCGGAAATGGCTTCGCCCGTACGTAAAATGACACTTCCTTTGCGAAATTTTGAAATTTGAAATTTCTCCGGGCGGAACGCTTCCCCGGAGCGCGAATTGGAAATTCACCAGAGCGAATGCGAGCGTTCAATTCGCAGAGATTGCGTTCAGACGATAACGCCTCATTTTAACTTCGTGATCTAATGAGCGACAAAGAATGGAATGACACGTTAGCGCTATCAGCGTGCTGCCTCCTTGAAGATAAATATTATTGGCTATAATAAATCGGCTAGTGATACATTATTGCTGCTTTTAATGATTTTAATATAACTCATATGAGCTATTTTCGTTGACTGAGTGATCGTTACAATATATACAAGTAATTATCGCTTAGTAATTTTAGTATGAATGATAAAATCACTGAGCAACAATGATTTATCACTGACTTATTTATTACAGCCAGTAATAACTTTTCTATGAAGGCTGAACGCATCTAAGGTGGATTCCTAATTTGCACGAGCGAAGGTTTCGGTCGATCAGAGCGGACTCGTTCCGATTCGAAGAATTCTCGATTGTCGACTTTGTAACGAAAAATCATACGATAGCGAGCGATAACGAGGGACATTACAGTTTAGGAATCGGGAACTCAGTAAAAAGACGATATCGAATGTGTTTATCATTCCTTCATCTAATACCAGAGATTACTCTCGATTACGACATTACTTTTGTATCTCTCGCTCGATTCTCGTGTGAGCGCGAAGTCGTTCGAATCCGAGTCTGTTTTTGAGTCGGAAGAAGTTTCTTCGGAAGAAATTTCCGAAGAAGACGAGTTATCCCCGCTGCGGAAAGAACACAACGGTGAATCTGCTCGATGTATCTGCTTAATGTTGAAGGAAAAGGAGAAACTGTACACTCCGAGCGAATGGAGCAAGCGGTACAAGCCCGAGGAGGTGATGGAACAATTCATGAAATTCTGCACCGAAGGTAATATGATCAGCGTGAAAGTCCTCTGGCGCGGAAAATTCTGTGCAAATTTTCGTCATGGGAAAAAAATTATTGTATCAAACATATCGATGATTTTACCTAGTTTTCATAAATTTGCACAAATGTTGGGGGAGGAGGGGAGTATCGACTTGATCGCTAAAAATAACCGTCCGCTTTTGTCATTGCAGTCACGGAAGAGGTTCGGGAAAGCATCAAGTGCGAGCTTGACGTACCTTACGGCACGACGGAACGCACGATATACGACATTTACGGCACCGATTTGCCAAAAGGTACGTGAATAACGACGATTCGATCAACAGGGAGTGGCATTACAGGGGAGAGAGAGAGAGAGAGAGAGAGAGAACGAGAAGCGCGCGCCTGCGCAGTCGCGATCGGCGGCAGCGAGACCGCTTGAACAACTTGGCCATAAATTCTATTGTGAAGGGAAAAATTTAGTTTTTAAACGATAATTAACACGCGCGCTCGCAAGGTCAGAACAATCACTCTCGCTCGTGAGTGAGGTCCATATGTACCGTTCGATACGATTCCTCCCGAGCACTATCTGTCCTCTCGACACGTGATACGCCTCCAGGAACGGCCCGTAATTGTTGCAATTTGCAAATCAAATCCATGCACATCCAAAGGAGTGTCAGAGGCGCAGGCGTTATAAATATTTATCGCGCACGATTACGAAAGTAATAATTATTCACCCAACGCGCAAGTTTAGAGAGAATTGCGTGAGAAATGCGTGCATGGGGACAATTTTTGTCGAATAATGTCTAGCGCATGGAATCTAGATGTCCCGAAGTGTACAAAAGCTCATGTTACGATTTACTTCTTCCACGGATATCTTTTGAATGTTGCGATACGAAGATTTATATTGCACGTAAAACCGTTTCCCCATGTACTAATAACGCGAGTACGGTTGTCGACAGAAAGGTGGTCCATAATTTTTCGCGCGAGTTTTAGGACACCCGCTTGCTCAACGGGAGAATTCTCCCGTTAGAAAGCGAATGTCCTCATCGGACTAGACGGACATCCTTCACGCAAAGAAAAAAAAAGAAAATTACAAAGCATTCACTCTAGCTGAACAAGCTAGTACGGTATACTTTCAGTTTATGATTCATATTTTCTAACAAAATTACCAGCATTTACGCGCGACAGTAAAAGCGAATGAAAAAAAAAGAGAAAGATGAACTGCTGCGGTAGATATAAATATTTACTCAATAATGAGAATCTGTCTAAATTTTTCAACAGTTCATCAAGAACTTGAATTCTCTGACGACAATAATTTGATATATTGTTTTCGAGTTTTTACCCAACTTTAACACTGCCGTCTTCTCGTCGCTGCCGTTATAAATTTTTAGCGAGAACATTTGATAATTACTCGCAATAAGCCCTTTTATGAATTTTGATATTTTTTCGAGGTTTTCTTGATAAAAATGTTTGTTATGATTTTAAGTTAGTGATAATCAATCGGGGGAGTTAAAACCTGCAAAATATATTATGTGTATATTTTTAACTTAACCTAATCTATCCTAATTTAACCTATTTAATTAAAACACATCTATATGTATTTACACTACATCAATCTTCTTCAGAGGTGTATATCAGATAACGCTAATGTCGATAGTTTTCAAACTTTAATACCTCATAACCTAGAAAATTCTGAAAGAAATTCAACTCATTTATAGTGTTTTGAAAAAGTCTCGGCGTCAGCTACAAAAATCTACAATAAAAAATAGGGGTTTATATTAAAAAATTCCATTATGACCTTCACGCGACCTTGGAATTGTCACGCAAGGTCACACTGACTTTATCACTTTGTGTTCCCTTCAAAACCAAATAATTTTTATTCGAAACATTTTTTCCGAAACGCGACCTTTAACCTTTTTTTTTTATTTAATAGAACACCCTGTGTATTCCATCTTGCCTGAGGCTCTTGCTAATCTTTTTCAGCAGCCTTATTTTATTTGTAGCTTTGTTTTCCAACATAAACAGATACAAAATCGGCCCTTTTAAGGGCCACCATTTTTTTTATTTTTAACTTTGGTAGATCCGGAAAACCACACATGTTGGAAATAGTTGAAAAAAGATGGCATGTTTTTCAAGTTCAGGATTGATTATCATTATCAGAACAACAACAAAGATTTTTGCCAAGAAGAAAAAGCCGCAAAAAATATCGAAAACTTCGAAAACGACTTTATTTCGAATAATTACCGAAAATTTTTAACGCGTACTTTGTCGATGGCGAGCCTTAAAGTGCAACTGTGCCTTCCAGACGCGCCGATATTAGTCTTCATCCACGGCGGATACTGGCAGGAATTCAGCAAGGACCTCACCGGCTTCTCGGTGCCGTTGTTTGTCAAGAACAAGATTAAAGTAATAACAGTGGAATACGATTTGTGCCCGAATGGTGAGGAAAGCTTTACATTTCAACATTCTTCCTTCTTCGAGCACTCCGCGACCCGATATTATCAATTGAAGACATAAAAACTGATCTCTTTCAAAGCGATGCAACAAACTTGTTTATTCGCTTTCTATTTCTTCTTCTCGTTTCAGTCAGAGTGTCGGATATAATAGTGCAGGTGAAATCGGCGTGCGAGCAAATACTCAAGTATGCGGCTGATAACGGTTGCAAGTACGTACAAACTCGACACTTTCTTAGAGGTAGAAAGATACTTCTTTGATCACTTCTTCATCATTCATAATCGCGCAAATTGGGCCTCAATTTTGAAGATAAAACACAAACTACCAGGGACTAAGTCGAGGTTATAGAGTACGTGATTTTTTTATTTCCAAAACTCAAGTGAACAAAAATTTAAAGCGTCTCGAAGACAAGGTTTCAGAAAGTCTCCTTTTGGCAGCATAGAAAAATTCGTTCAACGTTGCCCAATGAGAGGGCAAGGACGATTAAATGAAACAATTAAAGTGGCTACTTCATTTTATCCCCTTTCATGCGCCCTGGAGCATTTCTCTCACCGCGCAACCGAAGACATTCGTCTGAGCAGTTAGCTGCGTCGAAACTCACTTGAGGCTGAAGGCGATCGACTGACTCGGGATTCCCGTTCCGGAAATATTTCTGCCTTACAAACGAGTTTCCCACGCGGTCCCCGTCTTTCTCAGGCGACGAGAGACTCAGGACATTAACGGGATCGATCTTTCTGTGCACACGCAGATCCGTGCTGATCAGCGGACACAGCGCCGGGGCGCACTTGGCCGCATCTCTCTTGCACGACGTCGAGTGGATGAAACGCATGGAGCAGCAGGGATACTTGGCCCTATTGAAGGGAATCGTCCTGATAGCCGGGCTTTATGACATAAGACCTATAGTCGACGTCAGTCACTCGGCTGTCCTCAATTTCACCGAGTGAGTATCCTTCGCCGCACCTTGAAAATGAGTGCTTTCCATCTAGCAACACAAACCGACACTCGTCGAGCATGAATGAGCATTCATGCTCAAGTCGATTATGTTTGATTAAAGCTGAAGTGCGGCCGGTTGACACGACACACACATACACACACACACACACATACACTTTCTCTCTCTCTTTCTCTCTCTATTTCTCTCTGTGTATTGTTTCAGCGAGGAGGTAAAGAGAATAAGCTGGTTCCTCTGCGACGAGCCGAAGGAGCGGATCCACGGCTTGAAAGTTATCGTGACCATAGGCGACTGCGATTCTCCAGCATTTATAGATGACTCGTGCCGCTACATTCAGGTGAGAACGCAGCCGGATATTGGATGTCGCCGTGAGCGAGACAAGGTCATAACGCAGGCTCGCGCTGTTGTTTCAGAAAATTATATCCATGGTGAACAACGTGGAGTTCCATTTGCTGCGAGACATCGACCACTTTGACATTGTGGAGAAACTCCTGGATCCAGACTACGTCCTGGCCAAGTCAATGCTGCACTGTCTGCAGTCGGGCACGAATACGCGCTAGTCGGGCCGCTTTCTTATGCAGTGTGCTTGTACCTACTTTTGTTTAAAAAAAAGATTTATTTAAAATCGTTATTAATATATATATATATATACACACATGTGTGTGAGTGTATGTATGTGTGTATATGTGTGTGGGGGGGGGAGTGGATGTGTATATGTGTGTGCGCGCGCGCGTATATTTATCTCAAAATGAAAATGTCTTATTTAACATTGGGATTAATCAGCTAAACTTCGCAATCACGTAACAATTATCAGAAAAAAAGTATTGCTAGCAGCACACTATGGTGTTCGCATCATTTGGGTTTCGTCAGCGGGTGTACGCGTACTGACACACCACTCTGTACTATTCGCATATTTGACATCACTCGAGGGTTCGATATCACCTGCGGCTTCAAAATCACTTGTGGCTTCGACACTGCCTGCGACTTCAGTATCAGCGGCGGCTTCGACACTGCTTGCGGCTTCGATACTATCAGCTGTTTCGGTACTATCAGCTGTTTCTGTACCACCAGCTGTTTCGGTAGTATCAGCTGTTTCGATACTATCTGCGGCTTTGTCATCGGCGATGTCGTATTTGTCGATATCACTTGCACCTTCGATGTCGTCTTTGTCGATGTCATTGGTGTCGGCGTTTTCGGTGACACCTGCGGCTCTGACGTCTTCGTGACGATCTTCTGGGGGACAATTTTTACCACAGTCTCGTTCCGCTTGGTCTCGTCCGTCGTAGTGCTGACTTTCGAGTTTTGAAGACTCGGCGATTGGTCCTGCCGAACGGTGGCAATTTGCGTAGACGGCACGTGAATAATCCCAGATGGTTGAGCGCTGCACGCGGGCGCGATAATCTCGCCGGTCCGCACGTCTAACTTCAGGTAATTGTTCGTGATATTTTGCACATTGATGATATTGCTGCCTGGTGGCAACATCAGTGTCTGATGTGTCTTCACCAGAGGCACCACCTTGCCGAGCTGTATCGCGCACTTGCCGAGCACCGGCGGAGCTGCCGATGGTGCCGACTCGGCGGTGACGTTCGACTCGTCCGTTAGGTCGATCACGTCTTTATTTTGGCTCGTTATCTTTGGTACGTTCTCTTCTTTACCCATTTTGTTCCGTTCATCGTCCCAGGTCGTGGGAGGTTTGGCGAATGAGCGCACCCGCAATAGAGGCTTCTTAGTTTCGTCCTTGTCATCGGACGTATCAGTGATCGAAACATCGTCCAACGTTGCTCCCGACGCCAGTTCTGTTACTTTCGTGATCATCTCTTGTACGTTTCTCGCTACCTCGGCGATGTCTTGCGCTTCCACCTCTGTGGTGTCCTCCATTAGCACCTCCGTTGTCTCGCTCTCGGTTATCACCTCTGCCATAGAATTCGTTATCACTTTACGCATATCCTCTATTATCACTTCGACGTGCTCTACAACATACACGTAAAATAGAAGATATAGGATCCTAATTTTGGTGGGAGAGAGAGAGAGAGAGAGAGAGATAGAGATAGAGAGAGAGAGTTCTACTTTTGATCTTGTCATTTTTGTGAAAATTTAAGCTTTCACAAACCTTCAATCCTATCAGCGTCAGCACAATTTGTCGGAGCGGTGGTGGTCGGTGATGAGCTCACTTGCACTTTCGCGCTCGTTTCAGTAATGTTCCTCGAGGTCACAACTGCATTGCTGATGGATGGTCTGTGCACCTTCTCTTCGTTAGCGACAGTAGGAGTAGAGGAGATGGAAACGGTAGAAGTAGAAGAAGTGGAGACAGTGGAAGTAGAGGAGGTGGAGACAGTAGAGGTCTTGGTAGTCTTATTCTCGTCCTTAGATGTCGCTGCGTCATCCTCTCTCGTAACAGACTTTACTTCCAGTTTCTTATCGCTTTTCTCTTGCGGTACACTTCTTTCAACATTCATCGCCTCGGCTTTGTTCGTATCGCATTTCACGTGCATTACCGTGTTCGCATTTGCCGTATTACCTTTGTCACTCTCTGTGGGTAATATCTTGTCCTCAATAATTTCACTTATATCTTCTTCATTGCTACTGTCTTCGCTACTTAGAGTATATAGTGACGTAGTATCATTGTCGTCGTCCTTGTTCTTGCCTTCGTCTTCATCCTTCTCGTCGTTGTCAACATCGCTCTCGTCTTCCGTACTTGTTCCGCTATCAATGACTTGATTCTTCAAGTCTTCTTGTTTCTTCCTATACTTCTCAAATACAGCGGCCAGTCTTTTGTCGCCTTCACTACGATTCACAGCTAGTTTACTCGCTAATTCTTTATCTTTTAATGCTGGATCCTCTTCTGCGTTTTCAAGATATAATGAAAAAGTGTCCCAATAATCATTTCGTCTTGCACGTTGTAAGTATTCTCCTAGTTCAGTAAAAGCCTTTTTTGCTGTAATACATACAAATGTAAAATTTTCATATATGTATAAATTTTACAGACAACATATATTTTTTTATTATAACATAATATTATTACATAATATATAACATAATATTGGTACTTATTATTGAAAATAAAAAAAAATTTTACTGAGTTTCGAACAGAAGATACAAACATCTTACCCATGTGTTTCAGTTTCCTCTTGTCTAAACCTAAGTTTCTTTTGATGTTACATCTATTAACACATTCTAATATATCTCTATAATCAGGGAATATTAAATTATTTGTGAAAGCTCCCCGTTTCTTCAATCGATTTTGTTTCGAAATTTTAGAGTTAATAAAATTTGATATTGCTTGGTCCACAGCAACAATTTGAGTTGTACTTATGTGTTTAGGGCGTAAATATGAGCGTCCAGCATCAGCATTATCGTCTGTTAATTCACAAAGCTTGCTATATAATTCTACCATTCTTTGTTTGTATCTCTCCATTTTTATGTAATTACTATCAGCATCCTCATTGAAATCAACTTCTGCTGTTTCAAATTTCTTTATTCTAAGATCACATTTTTTCATGGCCATTAATATTGTTTTAATCTTTCTCTTTTTATCAATTTCTACACTGTTATCATCCTCATCTAATTTTATTACCTTATTGATTGATTCTTTGTTTGCTGCATAAGAAGTAGAAGGTATTGCATCATAGACTACATTATTAGTCTGCTTTTTCTTCAATTGATCCTTAATCATATTCTTTATCTCATTCATAACTTCCTGTATATGCACATATAATTTTCTCTTGTTCTGTATAATAGCTTCCCGCTTTTCATTTAAAAATAAAGCAAAACTTTCTGAACCAGCGTGAGATGAATCCAATCCTTCGTAACGCCTCTTCAACTTATCAACAATCTTTTTCATGTCATTGTCACGACTTTTATTCAAACATAGACTTATAAATTGAGGAAAGATGTCGTGTGCGATATATGATATCTTTTTACGCTCTTTCACAACCAATTTTGGGATTTTAGCTGTTAATTCTGCTGATGTTACCGTCTGCTTGTTTTTTGACACCAAAATACAATCAGACGTAACAAGTTCCTCTTTGTTTAGTTCCGATGTATTTTGATTTGTATTTAATTTCCTTCTCTTCTCCACAATATTGGATGATGATCTGCTTATTTGCGATACTTTCCTCTTTAGATTATTCTCCTCCACCTTCTCGTCGTGACTGGATGTAATTTCTACCTTTGTATGTAAAGCATTATTACTAGTCTCTGTGAAATTATCAGGAGACGAGTTCTTTTTGTTTTCCTGTAGCAAAAACTACATCTAAATTAGTTATCCTTGTGAATACAGCAAGGAGTATTCGTACGATTTTGGGCAACGTTCGGGCGTTGGAATCAAACCATAGTTCGACTTCCTTTCTGGATTGAGCACAGCAAGTTTTCCGTCCGCACGAAACTCGATCGGGGAAAAACTAATACGCAAGAGTTCACTCACCTTTTGCGAGTCCGACTCGTCATCAGAAGAGATACAGATGATCTCCATTTCCATCGCCTGTATATAAATACGTATATATTACGGGTCACTTTCACGCGCGTAACCTAAATATCGCTCGTGCCTTCTGTCAAAACGAAACATATTGATGGTTATGCACAGTTCTTCCTAATCACGACTCCACCGTATTTTCATTCGCGGTTCGCGCGACGATATCGCGATTCGGCGCGTTGCTATATATTTTTCCTCAGAGGAAACATATTTTACGATTTTACTCTGACACAGTGCAGCTCGTCGCCACAAACGTACAATACATGCGGGTACACACCTTCTTCCTTGAAGATAGTAACTTTAAGGAAATCCAAATTCCATCATACTATTTTTACAAAAGGAAGAAGGGCACTGAATGTTTCTCACCATTCGTCCCGTTGGCAAATATAACGATATCTACGTGGACGGTTCGTGGTTGGGAAAATACTTGAAGTATTTACGAATTCGCTACTTGGCAGCAGGTTAAAATGGGTCCAGCACGATACTTCACGATAAACCAATAGAACGTAGTAGCTTCTTACGTCAACTAAAAAGTTTTGCAGCGTTATGATAAACCTTATACTCCATATACGCAGACCGAAATGGTCCTAATAGATGAAGAGAATTATTGGTCGATCGTTAGGGAAATTTGATTCTACAAACTGGTATTTTGCCTGCAGGAAGCTACAGCGAAGCCTTCATTGCTTACAAAATGCCATAAAGAAGAAATACTGACCAATAAGAATGCTCCATATTTCCAGCTAATAGGATGCAATTGTCGTCATGTGAGGTGAGAATAACCTCATGACCAATCAGATCAACTTATTTTCAAAAATGAACGATATGTAAGAACAATTGATTGGCTACCTCGTCGTTTCAAAATGGTCCATGACGAAGATTTCATTCGTCGTTTGGCTGCATTGATTGGCTACTGGATAAGGAATTCCCCCACGCCTGCCAGATAGGGTCCCGAAATGATATTCATACTCCCATCTTATATTCAAAACATCTAAAGAGTTCATTTTCAGATACTGTACGAACCGATTTTATTGGTTAAGGAGTATCTATAGATGAACGTGAAACGATCTTGGTTTCCAGCAAGAAACAAGCCGTTCCATTAGTTGGCTACAATCTTCAGATCATCTTTAAATGATATCTAACGAATGAAACAGCCTCGTGCCTTTTGACAGAAAAAACAATTCTATGCTGCAATCACACAGTCAAAAGCTCTTCCCGTTTTTTAATTAAAACACAGGAAAATCATCTCATAATTATGATATTTGCAATTAAGAGAATTGTTAGCGGACAAGATGTGAAGTAAGGATGGATGATGTTGAATGAAAAATGGTTTCCAAAAAAATAAATTAAAAAATGTATAAATTTTTTATTGATAAAATTTTTAAATCGTCGATAATAACTGCTATAATATATACAATGTAATAATATGCATATAATAATATATACAGTTAGTAGAAAATGTACAGAAAGCATAAAGCTTCCTTCTTAAAATGCATATTATTATATTCTTAACTGAAGTAGATCTTCAATATAAAAACGACGAAAGATGGCGCTAAAAATTGATTAACCTCGCCATTTTTTATTTAATTGAATATATAATATTTTAATAACAGATAAAACCTGGTCTACAATATGTGTTGTAAGCTGTAAACCATAAGAACTGATCAATTATAGCTGATTTTTTAATAATCGACTGTGATTCGCCAATTCTTACGGCTTACAACTTACGACACGTATTGTAGACCAGACCTAATAGCGATGTGTGATAATAGAAATGTGTTATGAATTTCATATATTCTACCCTAACAGCACAGATGTCTAGAGTCCAGAGTCTTAAGGACGTCCTGGGGACGTTTCTTTATCCTCAGGACGTCCATAGGACGTCCTTAGGAGATCATATGCTGTCTGGGTATCTATGTAGAGACCTCAATCAAATTTTAGATACAAAAAAAGTAAAATAGAGCAAAGAAATCAATAAAATTTAAAATACATTTCGCATCACTGTTATTTCTGCCGAAAAGTCAGCCAATTGAATTTTGTCCATTTTTTATAGTAAAACAAAACGCGTCTAATTAGCCGTTGAGTAGAACTACTTGGACAGTGAAGCTCTGCGGCAATTACTGCTTGATAGCTGCTGACGCAATTACTAAGTCGTATCATGACCTCAATTTTTCCATGTCTACCGTTTATCCACGCGTATGTTAATATAACCACAAACTTCTATAGAATACACTAGACCGCTAACTGATCTTATCGGACGTCCACATATACCATGTATTATTAATCCATACATACCCAACGGTGGTCTCATAGCATACATAGTCTGTCCCAGATACGATGAGACTGATTCCATCAAAGTTCTTAGCGCAGCGACATCTATGAGTGAATGACAGTAGGTGAATGTTCTACCCTTCATCTACTTAACCTCAAAATTTGAGTGAATTCGGTTGATATTTCACTGTGGTTTGACATTTTATGTAAAGTCACTTTGTGTACACTCAGAGGCAGGTATGGTGTCCCTCGGCGATGTCGTATACGCCTGTAAAACAATCGAAAGCGATGACAGGCATATACGCATACGTATATGGGCGTACTGTACAGCGCGAGAGAAGCGAAGAAGGAGAAGTGGTGGGAGACATTCCGATGTTGCATCCTTATCGCACGTCGCACGATCGAGAGAGAAAGCATTACCAGACGTGGTACGGTTAATGGTGTCCCCAATAGCTGTCTCATTCACTCTACGCTTGAATGCAGGCAATATGAGTGAGACAGCTATAGAAACACCGCGCTGTCTCTATAAGTGTCTCGCTCGCTCTAATAGCCATGTATCGCGCTTTCCTCCTTTCTTCTTAGCAGAAATGCCGATTAAGGAGGCAATCCTGTCTGTAGACCAGAAAAATAAGCTATTTTCGCGAATTTTTTTTTTCGGAAACTAAGCAGACGATTGATTTCAAACTTGATAAAAATAATAATATATATTTTATTGATGAGAATGAATTTTTATAGCGTTATATGAATAATAATATAGCAAATATACAAAAAATAACATGACGTGTTTAGGCGCGCGCCGTTTCACGGTTCCTATAAAATCTCGAAATACGGTAGACTAGGACAAAAACGCAAGTAAAATAATTAATCTACGAAATTGCCGCTAACTCGTTTGAATTAAGGAAATAAAAAACGAACTACTGTTTTAATATTTTAAGGCATTTAAAAATTATATTTGAAAAATCGTCATAATATCGATGATTTTACGTTAAGAATATTTTATTTGCAAGAAAACGATATTTCATGAAATTTACGAAAAAACTTATTTTATGCCGTAAGATATGTCAAATTGTGCAATTCTTTTTAGACGCAACATATCTTTACTTTTGAAAAGACTACGAGAAGGAGGGAGAATAAATGCAACATCTTCCTTAAAATGCTACTTAAATTATAGGCTCCGCTCTTGAAAATATAAAAAAAAATTAGGAGACATTTAATAATAATAAAAATTACAATAATAATAACGAGACGCTATATAGCATCTCCTGAAATCAGAGAAAAAACTTTTTTTATATAAAAAAAGTCGATCGGTCGACTTCAGCATCTAATTACATATTCGAAACATGTCTATCTATCGTATGAACTAGCGAAATAAAAAAATATTAATTTTTTATATGCACCGCGCTATCTCTATAGGTGTCTCATTCGCTGTAATAGCCAATGGCATTTATGCTCGCAATTTGACATATCTTACGGCATAAAAAATGTATCGCGTTTTTCTGTTTTATAACGCCATAAAAATTCATTCTCATCAATAAAATATATATTATTATTTTTATCAAGTTTGAAATCAATCGTCTGCTTAGTTTCCGAAAAAAAAAATTCGCGAAAATAGCTTATTTTTCTGGTCTACAGACAGGATTGCCTCCTTAATCGGCATTTCTGCTAAGAAGAAAGGAGGAAAGCGCGATACATGGCTATTAGAGCGAGCGAGACACTTATAGAGACAGCGCGGTGTTTCTATAGCTGTCTCACTCATATTGCCTGCATTCAAGCGTAGAGTGAATGAGACAGCTATTGGGGACACCATTAACCGTACCACGTCTGGTAATGCTTTCTCTCTCGATCGTGCGACGTGCGATAAGGATGCAACATCGGAATGTCTCCCACCACTTCTCCTTCTTCGCTTCTCTCGCGCTGTACAGTACGCCCATATGCGTATGCGTATATGCCTGTCATCGCTTTCGATTGTTTTACAGGCGTATACGACATCGCCGAGGGACACCATACCTGCCTCTGAGTGTACGTCGGTCGAAAAACCAACATGGAACAAAGAGCGAATATTAAATTCTGTTTTAAATTGGGTAAAAGTGGTGCAGAAACGTACGAAACGCTAAAAAATGTGTACGGGGATGAATGCATGTCCCGTGCACAGGTTTTCCGTTGGTTTGGCCGATTCCGTGACGGTTGTGAGGATGACCGAGCACCGCCGCCAAAAACCACTCGCAATGAAGAAAACATCGAGAAAGTCAAAGAAATTCTTCGAAGCGACCGCTGTGTGTCTGCGAGACTCATCGAAGAGGAAACTGGGATACCGAAAAGCACAGTCTATCGAATTTTGACCGAAGATTTTGGCAAACGGAAGGTCTGTGCGCGCTTCGTGCCACACACTGACAGACGACCAAAAAGATTGGAGAGTTCAGCATTGCAAAGACATGTTAAAAATGTCCCGAAGGAATCCGGCAAGCATGTCAGCCATTGTAACTGGTAATGAAACGTGGTGTTTTCAATACGAGCCAAAAACAAAACGTCAGAGTGCGGCATGGAAGTCACCAGAAGAGCCAAAAGAGAAAAAATTACGCTTTCAGAAGAGCAAAATCAAGACAATGCTGACCGTTTTCTTCGATTCAAAGGGGATTGTTCACAGTGAATTCGTCCCAGAAGGTCAGACGGTGAACGCAGAATATTATCTGGGAGTTCTACAACGATTGTGGGTCAGAATTCGACGAGTTCGACCAGAATATCGAGAGCCAGGCAGTTGGTTTTTGTTGCACGATAATGCACCATCGCACAAAGCCATCATGGTACGTGAATTCTTTCTTGACCAAAAAAGGCATCATTGTTATCGATCATCCACCGTATTCACCTGATTTGGCTCCGTGCGACTTCTGGCTATTTCCCAAACTGAAATTGGCGATGAAAAGAAATCGTTTCGATACCATCCCGGTTATCCAAAAGATTTCGACCGCCATACTAAAGGCCATTCCAGCCGATGAGTATAAAAAATGTTTCGAAAAATTTGTTGAACGTTTCCAGCGCTGTATTGACTCAGAAGGAGACTATTTTGAATAAACAAGAATAAAAAATCAAAATAATAAACGCTTTGTATTTTTTTAGACCAGTCTCATTGGATCTGGGACAGACTGTGTATAATATATAGACCGCGCATTCGCAACGTTTCCTTTGTCTGCACATGTTCAATATTAGAAAGAGGTAGCATGCTTTCGTAAAGCAGTCTGTCTCTTTCTAACGATGCGTAATGGGGTATTTGGCCCCTCTGCCTATTTAGAGTGGA